AACTGTAGAAATGGCATGTGTTGAGTTTGAGCACCTCATTTTTGTGAGCGTCTACAGACCCCCATGTTGTATATATGATAGTTTTGAAAACATTATGGAGGAAGTTTTTGCTAAGCTTAATAAACAGAATAAATCTGTTGTAATATGTGGAGATTTTAATATCAATCTCCTAGAAGCTTCCTCCATCAATATTAAATTTAGATCATTGTTTATATCATATGGTCTTTTTAATTTATTTATAGAGCCAACGCGTATTTCTCAATCTAGTGCAACATGTATAGATAACATTTTTACGAATGTGAAGCCGTTGCATAAATGTATAATTCAAAAATTAAGTTCTGATCACTGTGGACAAGTAGTTTCGTTACCTTATGTTCACAAAAAGCAAGTAGATGAGAAAGTTGTGTCTGTTCCAGTAAATGCTCGTCGCTTGGAGAAATTTAGAAGTAACATAGTGAAAAAACTTCCATCACTTTCATACCAAAATGATCCTAATTTTTTGTATGGAACATTATTTAAGCTTATTTGCAATGAATTTAATAATACTTTTACTTCTAAAACATTCTCCTTGAACGGTCGGAAGTCATTCAATGAATGGGCGACAGTAGGAGTCCATAAGAGCAGGCATAGGTTATATGATCTTTACCATGAAAGGTCATATAATCATAGCGTCGAATTTAGGGAATATGTGAAAAAATATTCAAAAATATTTAAAAGAGTGTGTTCCATAGCCAAGTCTTTGCATTTGAGCAACAAAATTAAGACGGCTTCTAATAAAATTAAAATGACATGGAGTATAATTAATAGCGAAAGTGGTAAGATCAACTCTCGCAATTCAAATTACCAGTTAAGTGTTAACAACAAATTAACTGTATCAGATCAGGACGTAGCAATGGTTTTTGAGAAATATTTTACTGATATTCTGATCTTGACCACTAAGTCACTGAATTCTTCTCCTGCCGTCGCCGAATCATTACTTAAACAAAATGTAAATGTGTGTACAAAGAATTTTTTATTTCATAAAGTGTCATCAAAAGATATTGTTAAAGATTTTAAAACTATTGATGTTAAGAAAACTGCGGATCTGTGAGGGATTCCCGTTAAAGTTATTGCGTCTATAATAGATACAATCGCGCCTCATTTAGCTATTATTTTTAATACTAGTATCGAATCTGGTGGGTTTCCTGATTTAATGAAGCATAGTAAAGTAATACCTTTATTTAAATCTGGTAGTACATTAGACCCCGCCAATTTTAGACCTATTTCTGTACTACCAACACTTAGTAAGATTTTTGAAAAAAAAATGTTCTTGATCAAATGTAAATTTTTTTTAATATAAATAATTTACTTCATAAAAATCAATTTGGTTTCACAAGGGGTCGCTCGACAACTGATGCCGGTGTTGAGCTGATTAAATATATCTTTAATGCATGGGAGAATTCACAGGATGCTTTGGGTATATTTTGTGACCTATCCAAGGCCTTCGATTGTGTTCACCATGAAACATTAATCAGGAAACTTCAACACTACGGTGTAAGAAGTGATGCCCTTAAATTAATTATTTCATATTTAAGTAAGAGAACGCAAAAAGAGCTCTTCCTGATCGATGGTACAAATGGGCGTGCCTCAAGGCTCAATTCTCGGCCCCTTTCTGTTTCTTGTATACATTAATGACTTACCTTACATAGTAGGGGATAACCATGATATAGTATTATTTGCAGATGACACTTCTTTAATTTTCAAATTAAGTCGACAGTTACTAAAATATGACGAAGTAAATAATGCTATATCTAAATTAGTAAATTGGTTCGATGTTAATAATTTGCATTTAAATGGCACTAAAACAAAATGTATGAAATTCGTGACTCCAAATGTCAAACAATTAAATACTAATGTAATTTTAAATGGGGAGGAACTGAGTCTTGTAGATACCACCATTTTTCTTGGAATCACACTAGACGCGAAGCTTCAATGGAGCCCCCATATATCAAAACTAGCAAGCAGACTTAGTTCTGCAGCATATGCTGTAAAAAAGATTAGAAGTCTAACCAGTGTTGAAACAGCTAGACTAGTTTACTTTAGCTACTTCCATAGCATAATGTCGTATGGTATTTTGCTATGGGGACACGCAGCTGACACTGAAATTATATTTGTTTTGCAGAAGAGGGCCATAAGAGCAATTTATGATTTAAAGCCTAAAGAGTCGCTGCGACAAAAATTTAAGGAAATTAATATATTAACTTTGGCCTCTCAATACATTTATGAAAATGTAATGTACGTACACAAAAATAAAAGTAGTTTTATAAAAATAAGTGATATTCATTCTGTAAATACTAGGAACAGACACAAGCTAGTAGTACCAGTTACTTGACTCCATCGAGTCAGTAATTCATTCTTGGGGCGATGTATATGCTTTTACAACAAAATTCCAGAAAATATACAAAGTTTGACCTCTTCAAAGTTCAAAAACTTTATTAAACTAAGTTTGTATAAAAAGGGTTATTATAATATTAAGGAATTTATGGATGATAATAACCCCTGGAAATGAGGTGATCGCTACCAAGCTATTTCTAATTTGTTGTGTTGTTAATTTGTGTAACATCATGATTGTAAGCTGTTATTTAAAAAAAAGTCCCGCTGGGTTTCTTGCTGGTTCTTCCCAGGACAGAGGTTTTTTCCGAACCAGTGGTAATCTAACAAAAGAGTGACTTTCAATAAGTATTATTTATAATCTATATTGAATAAAAAAGTTTCTGTTTCTGTTTCTGTTTAAACTTAGTATGATCCTAACACACATGTCTCGCCTCCTTTACATTCATAAATCTACACATACATGCTCGTTGCTTAAAAGTATACTTGATTTGGCTCATCCTCAATATTTCGACAATGGTCGATACACTTCTTTGTAGGGTGTCCCTTATTGAGTCTGTCCCGATTTTCCACAGTATAAATTTTTTATTCTTTCCTCATTGATTTTTTCTAAGTTTCCAATCCACTAACATTTTATTTTCTTTAGTCACATCATCATCAAATTCGCACTTCTCTTACCTTTACAAGTTAGAATGTTGAAGCCACAAGAAAGAAAACCTACAAATGTATTAAAATACTTTCGATGGAACATAACGCAGTGGCATTTAGTTAGTTTGAGAACGACAAAAGGCATTAAGTCCGCCCTTTTTAATCCATTTTATGAAGTTGTTTTATACGTGGTAGAGCCACGCTGCATGCACGCTTTTACGCATGTAGCACGAATGGGTCGGCTTAACCGGGGTAGGACCTAGTTCACCCAGAAAACGAGCGTAAAATACTGCTGTGTTAATGCTGCTGTGTTTCGTATGGTGTAGTGTGTAGAGAACCTGAGGTCTCTGTAATGAGGGTACATTAAAAATATAAGTGATTGATTGTAAAAGGCTTGTCGAACAGTCACGAATAAACCGTCAATCCGCTTACCCGTGTCTTATTTACTTATTTACGAAATACACTACAGTGGCGACGAGGATCAAGTCGTTTTTATTTTTTCGGTGAATTTACGTGGACGCATATTAAATATAATGTCGATCGGCAAAGTGAGTGAATTCAACGTCAAAACGGGAAACTGGACTTTATATGTTGAGAGACTAGAAATGTACCTTAAGGTAAATGCAGTGAAAAACGAAATGTGGTTGCCGACATTAATCGCCGGTATGGGAGACGAAGCGTACGAATTATTAAGTAATTTAACAAGTCCGATTAAACCGGGAGATAAATCGTATCAAGAAGTGGTAAAAATACTTCAGGAACATCTTCAACCGAAACCCTCGTTCATGGCGGAGCGATATCGTTTTCGACAAAGAAGACAGTTGAGCGGAGAAACGATTCCGCAGTATATAACCGAACTTAAGAAATTGTCGAAATACTGCGAGTTTCATTCAACTCTAGAGGACAATTTAAGGGATCAATTGGTGTGTGGGCTAAGAAGTGATGTCATCCGTCAACGATTATTCGCAGAAGATAATCTGAAATATTCCGTAGCTGTGAGAATAGCTTGCGCTTTAGAGGCGGCGGAGCGGGATTCGGCCGCGGTGGAGCAGGCGGGCGACGGCGACGGGCTCGGCGGTAGCGGCGCGGACAGCGCCTTGCATGCGGTGACGTCATCGACAAGCCGCGCTCGAACGCGGGAGCAGGACAGCGCACCGAGGGCTTTTAAAGGTCGAGAACATGGCGGCGGCAATGCGCTATATTGTAGCGCGTGCGGGTCGAGGTACCACCGAAGTGATGATTGCCGCTATAAGAAATTCGTGTGTGGTAAATGCAAACAGAGCGGTCATCTACGCCGGGTATGTCACAAACGAGGGGGGTACACGGGAAATGCGGGCTCCCGACGCCACATGTACCATGTGGAGGCGGCAGAGTGCGAGACACCGTTAGCGGACGACGAGCCACCATCCGTGGAAAGTCAAACGGAGTTACAGGAGGATCTACACCATCTATGTTTAAATAGCTATAAACCGGTGAGCCTAACATTATTATTAGACGGATTTAAACTTAATATGGAAATTGATACCGGGTCGGCAGTGTCTTGTATAAGTAAAGCGACTTATAATAAATATTTTTACACTAGACCTACGGACAAGTTCGATCTGGTTCTAAAATTTTATGATGGAAGTCGAATCAAACCTTTAGGCATCATCAAGCCCGAAGTTAGATATGGAAATATAACAAAGCACTTAGAACTGTTTGTAATAGATGGGGGCACGACTTCATTGTTGGGTAGACAGTGGCTGTCGGAACTGCAAATTAAAATTCCGACATTCCACAGCATGGTGCTGGATGACCATTTTAGTAACAATAATTTGTCACTATTACTCGACAGATATAACAAGTTGTTTTCCGGCGGCTTGGGGCGGTTCGCGGGCGGCAAGGCGACGCTGCGAATCCGGGAAGGGGCGACACCGGTGTTCTGCCGCGCACGACCTTTGCCCTACGCGCTCAAGGACCGCGTGGATGCTGAGCTGGATGCGATGCTTCGGGAGGGGGTTATTGAACCCGTGGAGAGCTCTGACTGGGCTACACCTCTGGTGCCGGTACGTAAAGCGGATGGAGGGCTCCGAATTTGTGCAGACTATAAAGTGACACTGAACCCCGTATTGCTGGTCGATAGATTTCCCTTGCCTAGGATTAATGATTTGTTAGTAGGTATGAATGGCGCTAAAATATTCTCTAAAATCGATCTGTCACAAGCCTACAATCAGATCGAACTAGATAACTCTAAAAACCTTACCGTTATAAATACACATAGGGGCTTATTTACGTATAACAGGCTAGTATATGGGTTGTCATCAAGTCCAGGAATTTTCCAGCGTATAATGTCAAATCTTTTTCACGATATCGAAAAGGTAGAAGTATTTTTAGACGATATAATAATAGGTTCTTCTAATGAAAGAGAGCATTTACAAATATTGGAGACGGTGCTTAGTAGATTACATAAAAACGGAATGAAGCTTAGGAAAGACAAATGTTTATTCATGGTGGACGAGGTCAAGTATTTAGGATATATTATTTCAAAAGATGGCATTAAAGTTGATCCTGACAAGGTAGCTGCTATAGTAAAAATTCCGCGCCCCAAGGACGTTTCGGACTTAAGATCATTTTTAGGATTAGTCAATTTTTACGCTAAGTTCATTAAAAATTTAAGTACTACCTTAGCCCCACTTTACGGCTTATTAAAAAAGGGTGTTACTTGGGACTGGGACAGAAGTTGCGAGGACTCTTTTAAAAAAATTAAAAAGGTCTTAACCAGTGCGGAAGTATTATTGCATTACGATCAAAACAAACCGTTAATACTGACGTGTGACGCGAGCGCTCGAGGTATAGGAGGCGTGCTCACTCAGCCGTGCGCCGGCGCAGCGGGAAGCGAGCGGCCGGTGGTCTATGTGTCGAGAGCTCTCAGCGACGCGGAGAAACATTATTCACAAATTGATCGCGAGGCTTTAGCAATTGTTTTTTGCTTAAAAAAATTGCATCAATACCTGTATGGTCGACGGTTCACCTTACGTACTGATCACAAGCCGCTTGTCAGTATTTTTGGCCCAAAACATGGCATCCCTTTAATGGCTGCGAGCCGATTGCAGCGTTGGGCGATTACGGTATCCGCTTACTCTTATGACATAGAGTACGTTAGTAGTAAACAGAACTGTGCGGATGGCTTATCTCGTCTACCGGTATCGGTTCAATCCACAAAGAAAGAATGTTTAGATTTACCTGAACAAACGTATTTACATTTCGCTCAAAGTGAAATGTTACTAGATTATAATGAAATTAAAAAACAAACCCAGCGCGATCCGATTTTAGGTAGAATTATACTATACTTAAGAGAAGATTGGCCCATCGATAATGAGGTCAAATCATTGCAACCGTATTTTAACCGAAAAAAGGAACTATACGAAGAACTAGGGTGTATCATGTGGGGTCATAGAGTAGTCATACCGGAGAATTGCAGGGGTAGGGTGTTAAACGAACTCCACGAATGCCACATGGGAATCGTCAAAACGAAGGCGGTAGCTCGAAGCTATGTGTGGTGGCCGGGGATCGATGAGGCAATCGAAACGATGTGTCGAGCGTGCGTCGTGTGTGCGGCCGAGGCGGACGCGCCCCAACGGCACACTCCAAGCCCGTGGCCATGGCCGGCTAAGCCTTGGTCTCGTATACACATAGATTTTTTAGGGCCAATTTTCAATAAAATTTACTTGGTAATAATTGATGCCAGAACTAAATGGCTAGAGGTTTTTTATGTACCGAGTACAGCAGCTAGCCACACTATAGTTAAACTTTCCGAAGTTTTTGCTAGGTGGGGTCTACCTAAACAATTAGTATCAGACAATGGGCCGCCATTTATCAGTAGGGAATTTTCTCAGTTTTTAACAAATAATGGGATACAGCATGTTTTCACCGCACCGTACCACCCGGCTTCAAACGGTGCCGCGGAAAACGCAGTCCGCACTGTCAAGAAAGTTATTAAAAAGGCAGTGAGGGAAAATAAAGATATAAATTTATTTTTAAACACTTTCCTATTGCATTATCGAAATACCGAACATTGTACTACGGGCGAAAGTCCCGCTTCTCTCATGTTAGGAAGAAGATTACGTACTAAACTAGACGTACTTAGACCGGATATTGAGAATAAAATTATTAAAACTCAAATAAACCAGAAAGAGAACGCTCCCACTGGTGAACGTGGCCTGCAGCCGGGTGAGGATGTATGGCTTCGCCGATATCAGGGGAGTGACAAGTGGACAGCCGGACAAGTGACGCAACGTTTGGGCGTAACGGACTACAAAGTTTTAGACACTATAGGTAAGGAGTCACATAAGCATATAGACCAGCTAAAACGTAGAATTAGGAGTTCACTGATTTGTCCCCGTAGTAGTAATAGTCAGCCAAATTCGAGTTCCGAGTCGTTGTCTGGCACCGGTGCAGAGGAAATTAATGCGCCTAGAATAAACCCTGCCGTAAAAGACACCGGGAGGAAATCAAAAGCACCGGAGGGAACCGAAATAATAGATAAGAGTGATTGCTTAGATACGGCAAGGGAAACGTCAACACTTCGTGCTCCATCAGCTCATACGTCGCCTGTGCCGCCCGCAACGCCGCCCCAGGTCTTCCGGCCGGTACGCAAGTGCCGTTTGGATAACCCCCCAAGCTATAAAGAGTAGTTACCATTGCACTATATTATTTTTATATACCTTTTTTTTTTTTAATATTTTCAAGATTTTTTTTCCTTTTCTGTATAACAGTATAGTATAAAATACTTATATATAACTAATTGTAAGTCTTAATTAAGGGGGGAGGATTGTAATGAGGGTACATTAAAAATATAAGTGATTGATTGTAAAAGGCTTGTCGAACAGTCACGAATAAACCGGCAATCCGCTTACCCGTGTCTTATTTACTTATTTACGAAATACACTACAGTCTCGTTTACTTAGTCCTCAGACGTGACTAAGCATCTGAATTTTGATTCTTAATTGAGGAATCATGTTGATGTCTATGGGCCGCAGCATACCTTAACTGTTTAAATTGACCTTGTAGTGGCGGTTAAGAATATCCACAACCTCTAATTGTCCTGTCGGTGTTGTAATAGGCGACAAAAGGAAACAAACCAGACAATTTTTATAGAAGATGGGCATGGTCAATCCATCAAACTGTTCTGCCTACCTGTTACTACTAAGATCTTAACCAGCAGTGTACCGCCGCATATATATTTTACCGTCGCTCTATTCGCCTTTATAAATTGCCACATGACAGGGCCAGTCGCCGGGCTTTAAATCCGCCCCGTTGACGATCAACTATATGTGATCTATTTAACGAGCCGCATGAATCATTCGGTGCTTTTAAATACGCTTCTGCTGTAGCCTTATGACCTGCAATATATTAATCTAGATAGCCTTAAGGTACGTTCTTACATAATGTACAAAAATAATCATATTTTTCTAACATAGAACATCCTAGTTTTTTGAATTCAGTTATCAAGGATATATTTTTATGAGCCACAGCAATCACTTATCTACTTACGGTGGACTTTTTTTTAGTTAGTCATTGTAAGTTGCACAAAAAATGTGTTATAATACTAAATAGTGTTATGTAACTATAATTTCTGAGTGAGACTACGTACGTTTGAGTAAACGGTCCAAAAGCAAATATTATCTGACTCTATTCCGAAGATATTCCGAACGTCAGTCTGAGTGAGATTAGAATAGCTCTCCAGCACGTTAAAACGGTAAGGTTTCGGGTGAGAATGTAATTGCAGCGGAGCTTCTGAAAAGCCTTCTATACTGCGGGTGGAAAACCTGTATGTAAAGTCCTACAGTAGTCCCTAAATTTCGTTCTCTATGGTGGCACTACACCGGAGGCGTGGAACAGAAGTGCGGTAGTTTTGTTCAGCAAGAAAGGCGACAACGCTCTATAAAGAACTACCTATCAATTTTCCTTCAGAGCCACGTCTATGTGCTGTTTTCCACTATAAAATTTGTCTTGAGTATGTGAACTATAAGAAAGACATTAACTCCGTCGAAATTTGGGCGGTGCTATAGCCTTCAGCGGTACCAAGTTGAATGTCATTAATTGGTATATTTAAGTATTGAAGTGTTTGTACAGTAAGGATAAGATGGCTATCCAAATACAGAGCCAGAGTACGAAGCCTATCCAACTGCAGAGAGGTGTAAGACAGGGTGGTGTATATCTGAAACTGCCTAGGTAGCCCAGTCTGGATAGTGGGTCTCTAGTTCTGCTTAGATAACCCTTTGGGTAGGCACAAACTTCTTTACATATTTCTACCACGAAATGTCAGTGCATAAACTACTTTATTTCGTTCTGAAACGTATACAGAGCTAATAAAATGATACGTGAGGCATTCAATCTTAGTCCTGTGACGTTTTCTTAACTAGGAGAACTAAAATGGACTTTAGTGACCAGTAAAAAGTGTTTATAAGAAACCCAACTGTATTATGCTGCGGCGTGGATTTACAAAATACAGAGCTATTTTGCACTTACCGGCCAAATTTGCAGAGAAGGTTAAGAAAAATGAATTTAAGAAATCTCAAGCACTCTGTCCTTTTTATCTTTTTAATTTAAAATGCGTAGTAGGGCATTATTTTAATTGATTTTACTGCGTACGCACACATTTGTAAGATCGAGTGGTATCTAAGCAAAAACGCTGTTGCAAATAAATCACATTCAGTTTGGGATAATCTAATATATAAAAATTATTTTTGTTTGTTCTTATTAAATGAGCTGCCATGTCGTTCATTAGATTGCGGTGAAACTTTGTCAACTTATTGTTTGCACTTGCGCGAATGTTATAGTCATAGTTTAATTAACTTATAGGTGGCGCGAGTATCGCAACAAAAATTTATTTTAAAGTTATATTATATATCATTCAATTTTTAATAAATGTATTAGCATTTCCAATTAAACAAAATAATTATTTCTTCTGCGGCAGTAAACGCACCGGACGTTTTAATATTATAAACGTGAAAGGTTGTGAAGATGTATGATGTTTGTTACTCTTTCAAGAAAAAACTATTTGGATTTTTTTTATTTGATTTTATTAAAACTTTACAATAATATAGAACATAATCAGAATAATACAGGCTATAGTCATAGTTCATAGAGATATAGTGTAAATTTGCCAAAATATAACGACAAATGTTAAGTCAATGGGAAATAAATTTGTCATCTGTGAGCTATTTTAGCGTGCGATGCAAAAACAAAATAATGTATGGTTGAATTGTTTCTCCTGAATAGTTCCTCAAAAAAGTCCGCAACAGTATAGATATAATATATTGTATTTTATGTGTAAGCCATTATTATCAAAATAGTGAACCATAAATACAATAAAATTTGATACCTTATTTCAAATGCCCTTTTCAAAGACCCTTTTTACTGGAAACGAGGCATTCCATCTTAGCCCTCACGGGTGACAACGCATCTGCATTTTGACTCTTAATCGAAGATAGATGTAGATGTCTATGGGCCACAGCGACCACTTACCATCAGGTGGACTGTGTGCTCGTTTGTCACCCTTATCCTATAAAAAAAAAAATGCAGATTTAGCAATAACAACAGACATATCGAGTGACGTGCAGTTTCGTGGTCACTTAGAAGAGAAGGCCAAATTGACCTCTAAAAAGCTTGGCGTGCTCAGCAGAGCGGGACAGTATTTCATGCCGGCACACCGCCTGCAACCTTACAAGGCGCAAGTTCGGCCTCACATAGAATACTGTTGCCATCTCTGGGCAGGGGCTCCCCAGTGCCAGCTTCTTCCACTTGACCGCATCCAGCGCAGAGCGGCTCGAATCGTCGGCGACCGAGCCCTTTCCGATCGGCTCGATTCATTGGCACTGCGAAGAGATGTTGCATCCCTTTGCATTTTCTTTCGCATCTACCATGGGGAGTGCTCTGAGGAATTGTTCGGATTAATCGCAGCCGCCAAATTTTACGAACGCACATCGCGGCAGAACTCCCGATACCATCCACACCATCTGGATGATTGGCGGTCCACCACTGTGCGATTTAGAAGATGTTTTCTTCCTCGCACGACTTCCTTGTGGAATCGATTACCATCAGCGATTTTTCCGAACCGACTTAGGGACCTTCAAGAAAAGAGCGTACTCCTTTTTAAAAGGCCGGCAACGCATCTGCAATTCCCTCCCTGGTGTTGCAGTTGTTCATGGGCGGCGGTAGTCACTTACCATCAGGTGAGCCGCATGCTCGTATGCCCCCTCTCCTATAAAAAAAAACAAATTGATTTTTATCAAAATAAATAATTTTATCGCTTCTAATATTCAAAATAGACAAACTTTGTCTTTTAAACTACGTAATTTGGTCAAACATTTTAAAAGTTATGATTGTGCTATCCAGCGCGCGTGGTGGTCCGGCGAACTACAGGCGAGGTAGATAAAACATCGCTCGTCGCTAAACGCATGGCAGATGCGTGGGCCTATTTTATCTTTAGTCTAGATACTATAATAAAACTCTAATACGACATCTGGACGCATCACGCAAAACTCTGTGAACCGATTTGGATGCCAATTTGACTGGCATATAGCTGATATAATAAGAAGTAACTTAGGATACTTATATTTTAGGGTTCCGCGCAAATTAATTCCGCGGGGGCGGAATCGAAGGAACAGCTAGTTTCAAATAAAATTAGAAGCTAAGGCTTATAATTTGTATTTTCAAAAACTATAAGAACGTTTTATCAATATTTATATATTTGAACATAAGTTTAAAATTTGTTTACTCTTTGTCAAATAAACCTGTATCTTTTTCGGATAAAGCTTACAATATATGAAATAATTTTATTTATGTAACAGTAACTGACTACACATGTTCTTGTCACATACCTCAAAAGTTAAATGGATAAATGTAACGCCATAAGATTTTCATAGTTTTAACCCGTTTTTGTTTTGCCTCGTAAAAGAAGGTAGATTTTAAAGTTTGTAGTGTCAAAAATGTATTGAAAGGTGTAATTTTTTAATTTTTTTTGATAAAATGTTGTATTTTTATGCAAATAAAACAAATACCTTTTTATTTAATGGTTAAATTTCCTTACCTTTTATGGCAAAAATGACGTCACATAATTTTTAATGAGATTAATAAAATTTATAGAAGTAGAATTGCAATGATTCCTTTTCAATTTAATAGCTTAATTCATAATGATTCTACTGATTTATATATGTAGCTGGCATACAAAATAAAAAGATATCATTGTTTACATTAGCGCCTACCAGTATCGGGCGATCTTCCGTACAGACCCAAACGGTTGACGCGTAAAAAGAAAAAACGTCAAGGCGCTTGATGAGATATACATGATATTATAATAATATTATATATTGTAATAAATAAGAGTTATTGGTAAATTCATTGGTGCATACTATAAGTGCATTAAAACAATAACGTATAACATGATTATACACACAAGTTTTCACTAAAAGCCTTATAACTATTACTATACTTCCAATGTTCAGATAAATTTATGTCAATTTCAAATTAAAAAAAAAAGCTTGAAAAAATCCAAAATTTTACGACTCATGAGTTCGTGAAAAAATTAATAAAATTGTAATTATATTCGATAAAGAGTTCCGGTAGTAGACACCGTAGCACACCTTCAAGTCACCCCATCAAGTTCGGAGGTAAAGTTTGTTCCTAACTA